GTCTCCCAAGTAGCATCACCTAGGGCTCCACCCTTCCAAATCACCTTCACGAGTCGGATGGTCTTATTGCGTAGTTGTTTGTCCTTAAAGTCCTCAATTCGCTCCGGTTCGGATCTAAAGGTCAAATTCTCCCTCAATTCTACTTCTTCAGGTTCAATAACATGGGAGGGATCCGGGTTGTACTTCTTCAACTGTGATACGTGGAACACATTATGGATACCTGCAATCTGTGGAGGTAATGCAACTCTATATGCAGTAGATCCAATTCGCTCCAAGATCTCATACGGGCCCATAAATCTAGGTGTCAATTTCTTTGCCTTAATGGATCTACCAATGCCTGTCACTGGAGAAACCTTCAAAAATACATGATCTCCTACTTCAAACTCTAACGGCCGTCTCCTCTTATCAGCATAGCTCTTCTGTCGGCTCTGAGCGGTTAGCAATTTTTGCTTAATCATTGCAATCTTCTGGGTGGTTGCTCTACAATTTCTGGACCAATGATACTCCTCTCACTTAATTCTGTCCAACATAAAGGCGATCTACACTTCCTTCCATACAAGGCCTCATAAGGCGCCATCCCAATACTAGAATGATAGCTGTTATTATAAGCAAATTCAGCTAATGGCAAATGATTATCCCAACTACCTGGTAGTTCAATGGCACAAGCTCTCAACATGTCCTCCAAAGTCTGGATCGTCCTCTCTGTTTGTCCATCTGTTTGGGGGTGGTATGCGGTGCTAAAACTCAGTCTGGTACCCATAGCCTTCTGTAGCGCACCCCAAAAGTTTGAAGTGAACCTTGGGTCACGATCTGACACAATTCTAGAGGGTATACCATGAAGTCTAACTATCTCCTTAATGTATATCTCAGCAAATTTCTCTAATGTAGAGGTAAACTTGATCGCCAAAAAGTGAGCTGATTTGGTGAGTCGGTCTACTATCACCCAAATAGCATCCTTACTCGAGGGTGTTCTTGGCAGTCCAGTGATGAAATCCATAGAAATATCATCCCATTTCCACTTTGGAATATCTAACGGTTGCAGTGTTCCAGCTGGCTTCTGATGTTCTATCTTTATCTTCTGACACGTTAAACATCTAGAAACAAATTCAGTTACATCTTTCTTCATTCCTGGCCACCACCAACCTCGCTTCAAATCATGGTACATTTTAGTTATACCGGGATGAATTGTATATTTGCTCCTATGAGCTTCTTCTAAAAGGATATTCCTCAATCTTGGATCATTAGGTACACAAACTCTACCTTTATACTTCATCACTGTGTCCTCAGAGATGGTAAAATTTGGGGCCTTACCTACCACTATCTCCTTCCTTATATTCCTTAAGTAGTCATCACTTTGCTGTGAGACTCTGAGATCTTCCCAGAATTTGCTCTCAAAGTCTGCTACCTGGAGTGCGGCCATTTGATGTTCAATCACATCTACTGGAACATCATGAAAACTGTTCCATAAATGATATTCATGAACCATCAAATGTGCAGCATGAATAGTCTTTCTACTTAAGGCATCAGCTACCACGTTAGCCTTACCCGGATGGTAATGTAATTCAAAGTCATAATCCTTTAGAAATTCCATCCATCGTCGCTGCCTCATATTAAGCTCTTTTTGATCAAATAAATACTTCAGGCTCTTATGGTCACTGAAGATTTGAAACTTAGATCCATACAAGTAGTGTCTCCATATCTTTAGAGCAAACACAACTGCAGCTAACTCCAAATCATGAGTAGGGTAATTTTCCTCGTGTGGTCTCAACTGTCTGGAGGAATAGGCAACCACTCGGTCATTTTGCATCAAAACACATCCTAAACCCTTTAAAGAAGCATCAGTGTACAGAGTGTACGGCACCACAGGGTCAGGAATAGTCAATACTGGAGTAGTGGTTAACCTCTTTTTCAATTCTTGGAAAGCAGCTTCACATTTGTCAGTCCAAATAAATGGGGCATCCTTCTTAGTTAGCTTAGTTAAGGGCATCGCAATTTGCGAAAATCCCTTAATAAAGCGACGATAATAACCTGCTAGACCTAAAAAGCTTCGTATCTCTGTAACAGATTTTGGCTGTTCCCACTTCATCACTGCATCAATCTTACTAGGATCCACCGCAACTCCATCTCTGGACACAACATGGCCCAAAAACTTTACTTCTTGGAGCCAAAATTCACACTTGCTTAATTTGGCATAAAGCTTATGTTCCCTCAAAACTTGCAAGACGATTCTTAAATGTTCACCATGAGCCTCCTCATCCTTTGAATAAATAAGAATGTCATCAATAAACACTACTACAAACTTATCTAAATAGGGTCGAAAGATCCTATTCATGTAATCCATGAATACCGCAGGAGCATTCGTAAGTCCAAACGGCATCACCATGAATTCATAATGCCCATATCTCGTCCGAAATGCTGTCTTAGGTATATCCTCTGCTCTCACTCTCAATTGGTGGTACCCTGACCTTAAGTCAATCTTTGAGAAAACTGCGGATCCCACAAGCTGATCCAGCAAATCATCGATTCTCGGAAGTGGATATTTGTTCTTGATGGTTACTTTGTTCAATTGTCTATAATCAATGCACAATCGGAGGCTTCCGTCCTTCTTCTTTACAAAAAGGACTGGAGATCCCCAAGGTGAAACACTCGGTCTGATGAAACCCTTCTCAAGTAGCTCTTCGATTTGCTTTTTCAGTTCCGCTAACTCTGAAGGGGACATCCGATAAGGAGCCTTAGAAATTGGCCCTGTACCGGGTACCAATTCAATTGAGAACTCTACCTCGCGCTTTGGGGGTAAACCGGAGACTTCGTCTGGAAATACATCCGCAAATTCTTTGACAATTGGGATATTCTTCACGCCTTCATCAATCTTAGCTTGGATAGAGAAGAAAACCATGTAGGCCTGGCAACCCTTCTTCATACATCTATCAACTTGCGCCGCCGACAAGAAAACATGATCTTGAGTCTCGACTGGGGTCACCGACAAAGAAGATAAAGACACACTCCTCTCTCTACAATCTAGGATAGCACCATTTGCAGCCATCCAATTCATTCCCACAATTACATCCATACCTCTCAGTGGTAGGATAATTAAGTCCATAGTTGTTTTCCTATTTTTAAACTCGACTACTAGGTTAAGGCATGCCTTAGCGGTCCTCACAGATTCTCCCGCAGGAGTAGACACATTCATATCAAACGGTAAAATACACACAGGCAAATCAAGGTTCTTTACACAAGTTTCAGAAATAAAAGAGTGTGTAGCACCCGAATCAAATAGTGCAACAATATCATGATGAAGGATTTTGATGTTACCTCTAATGGCATCTGGGGAGTTCATGGTGTCCTGAGTAAGAGCAAACACACGACCAGAGACAGTAGGATGTTGGGAAGGGTTCTTCATATTTGAGCCCTGGTTGTCCCCACAAAACTTTGCAATGTGACCGGGTTTCCCACAAATGTAACAGACCCAGCACTGTCCGAAATGACGACGCCCGCATTTAGTGCACTGTTGAGAGCTCGCTGTACTCGGGGCAGGGGTAGATACTGTTGGGCTCCTCTGTGACCCGTAATAACTACTATGATAGCTCCTCTGTCCTTGGCCCCTTTGAAATGGACCCTTCTGCCTTCCTTGGTTCCATGAGCTACTCGAACCCTGATGGTTTTTCTTCATAATGCCTCCGGTGGGTCGAGGGTAGGTTGGGGGTCTACTATATGAATAACCCCTCTTCTCTCTCTCAACCTCCTTCTTACTGCGAGCTACTACTTGTAGTTTTATGCACATTTCATCATAATCTCGGATATCTAGATGAGCCAATTGTTCCCTCAATTCTGGTCTAGCCTTCTCCAATAAGCGCTTAGCCTTCCATTCGGAATCATCCCTATACTGCAGGTACGTGGAGTATCTAGATAACTCCTGAAACTTAGCAATGAATGTGTCCTCATCGAGGTTCCCTTGCTTAAAGGCATGGAATTCCGCTTCCTTCTCAGACCTTAACTCTGATGGAAAGTAATGCCTGAATAATTTTTCCTTGAATTCCTCCCAGGTGAGTGTAGAATCATCCCTGGGCCCTGCTGTCTCCCACCAATCTCTTGCTCCTTTCACTAGGAGCACTAATGCTACTTGTACTTTTTGATTGCTGGTGCATGTGACTACTCGAAAGATGGATTCGAGTCTCTTCACCCATTCCTCTACCACGGATGGTTTAAGGTTACCATCAAACGTAGGAGGGTTAAACTTCCTAACAGTTTCCCACACATCAGTAATGGTCGGTGGGGCTCTCTGTTCCTCCTGCCTAATTTCTTTCCTTCTAGACTCATGATCTCTCAGAGTGGCAGGATGTGAGGAACTGCCTTCCCCCACATGACTCTCAACATGAGCCCTATCTCCATTTTCAGTTACCTTTTGCCTCTTTAGCTCCGTCAACTCTTGTTCGTATCCTTGAACCTTGTCTGTTAATGTTTTTACAAGCATTCTTAATTCCGCCAAGTCAGGCTCCTCATTTGGCAGTGGCGGTGGCAGGTGCTCATGTTGGAATCCTGAGTTACCACGAGTAACAGGCATTTTCTCTCCCCTCCTAAAGGATACAAGATATAAATAATAAAATTAGCCTAGCTATATCATGGCCATACAATGAGAAGCACCATAACAATGTATATTGCCAACCGACTATATGCTCTGATACCAATATGTAACACCCTCAAATTTACAAACCGATTTTTCGCAAGTTATTAATTCAAGAAATCATTTTTTTTTTCATTGAACCCTTATCATACCCTTATCATGGTAGAAAAATTTCTACCATGATACATCCAAGACAATATACCACAGGTCTTAAAATATCTCAAAAAGCAATTAGAACCATGAGGGACAGACATGATCCTCATAGCATGTTATTTAAATTAGGTCATGAATCAAAAGGGACAGACATAATCCTCTTGGACATATAAATGCATTTAATAAAAAGGATTAGAGTTTACATGCTCCATAGACAAGATATGTCCTAAGTTGGCACAAGATACATTGTATAATCCAAAATAAGAGGCAACGTAAAAGATGGTGTCTCATACACCATAATTACACCTCTGGTGCTTTCTCGGCCGGATTCGCTCCTGTAAAAATATTAACCACGGGGAATGAGACTTAAAAGTCTCAGTAACCAAAAATTAATATGTAATGATGCATGCGGATGTAACTAATCATGCGATTGCTAAGTGGGCACACAAAACATTTAACCGAACAATATTTTCAAACAAACCGAACAAGTATTTAATTGCATGACTGCACCTTATATCCTCCTTTCACCATGCTCGGACGCCAAATCACCCGGCCAAAGGTGAGTTGGACCAAGCGACACGCCACTCATTGGGTCCAATGAGGGCTTACCACGTGGTAATAATTAACCGAACAGAAATTCCCATTAACACCATACATTAAAATACCCTGACAAGTCATGCATCATTCAAATATCCAAACAGGAATATATCCGAACAATAATATCTCATCATGATAAACAAAAATAAATTTTTAACCCACTTGGCAATAATTTCAAACAAGTATATACAGTATTTATTTTCAATAATTCATAATTTTTCCAAACAACAAAACAACACATAACCATTCACAAACACACTCATCACAACACATTAATAATGGTTACCTTGTGTCTTGAATAACAAGTTCCCCTTCACAACTCCTTTTTCACCACTATCTTTGTCAATATAATCTACATAATTATTTCACAATACTATATATTAATTTTACATTAAAATAAATAACTCTAATTTAAAGAGTTAGAAAGTCTTAAATCTATAGTCCATATTAACACTAATTTAAGATTTATGCCTTATTTAACTTCCCAAATTCTTTTCTAAAATTCTCGTACCCTAATGAACTATTTTTTTTTTATCCTCAATTCACTTCTAGTATCGCAATTTCATCCTTCTACATTCTAAAAATTCATCTAAAAATAAATTAAAAATTTTAGAATTATCCTGAAGCCTCAAATCACCTTTCTATAACCTCAAAAATACCTATTCATACTTAAATAAATATTTAATAATCATAGATTTATCCCTACATCTCAGATTCCACATAAATTCAACCATATAGATCTAGATTTTAACTCAAAAATTCTTAAACATGAGTTTCAACCTTAAGAAAATATTCTATAATATTTACTATATCCCTAAGAATTTTAACCTATATTTTTAATCCATCATATCATCAGATTAACTATCCTATAGAAAAATCCTAATCAAAATATTTACTCTATCCTACAAAATAATCATATCACTAGAAAGCTAATATTATTTAGAAAATAACTATAAAATTAATTTTGTAATTAAATAAATTTTTAAATGCTAATCTAAACAGGAAAGTTAGAACATACCTGAAGAAAAAAGAAAATAATCCCCCCTTGCGAGAAAACGCCGAGCACCGTGAGAGGAAGAGAGAAAAATAATATAAAAATGAGATTGTGAGTCCCAAAATTATATTAAAAAAAACTATAGGTTTGAATTTAATTATTCAAACCTTTGGGCCCAAAGTTGCAATTTTCTCTAAATTGCATCTTAGCCTCTCATGCTTCCTAATGCACACACCCCCTCCTTTTTATACATGAAGCCACCTCTTCTCTTCCCTCATCTAACCAATGTGGGACTTAGAAACAACAACCTTCCACCCCCCCTTTTTTTTGTTCCTTCTACCTTCTCTTTTTTTTTTTTTTTAACACACACAAAAAAAAATTATTTATGTATTATATCTTAACTAAATATTGCTTATGTGGTTTTAAATTTAAATTTTTAAATTCATAATTAAATACCTAATCATAATATTATTTCTAAATAACCTCAAATAATATAAATTCCTATTATTATCATTTTTTTCCTCAAAACCTAAATTCCACAATTTCTTTATTATATAAAAATCAGGATGTTACATTCTTTATTAGTGCTTCATTTAAAAAAAATTAATCTTCTAATTCTTTAATTTTTAACTCACTTGTAACTCAATCTTTCAGCTCTAATTTGCTATGACTTAGTCCCTTGACTTGTAACTTACTTGTAACTCAATTTCTCAACCTTTGACTCATCTATAACTTAATCCATCAACTTTTCATTTTTTTTTGTGTTAGCTTAGGTTTTTATATTAAAGAGCAAGATGAGAGTATTAAAGTAAGATATGATCATTTTTATTCTTTTTATTTGATAAAGATAATATTTAAAAAAAATTAAAAAATAAGGATTAAGTTATAAGCGAGACAAAATTTAAAGGGTTGAATCACAACAAATCACAGTTGAGAAACTAAATTACAAGTCAGTTAAAAATTGAAGGATTAAAAAATTAATTTTTTTCTTAAAAATATTAAAGAAAAAGGACATAATAAGAATAATAATATTAACAATGTTATTAATAAGATTTTATTTTTATCAAAATATTTATATTTTAAAATGTTAACTTTCTTTTAAAATATTTCATGATTTAAAATTGAGGAGTATAATCCAAGCTTTAAAGCCGTGATAATATACCCACATGTCAGGCATCATAATCGTAGCATCTGATACTCTCGTGTCCACCACGGGTATCAAAGGATGAGGACCAAGGTTCTGTTTCTACCACGCCAGGCTCAAAATTTCTGTGATAGATTTTGAGTTTCCTTTTTCTTTTCTTTTTTTTTTTTTGGGGCTCAAGGATTTTGAGCTTTAAAATACCTACTTTATGTTTGGTTTATATCCCATCCAAGGTCCAGGTGGCTCAAATCTCAATTGATATGTCAAAAGCTCACTAGGTAAATAAAAATATTGTTTGGATAAATTATGGATGAGGAGAGCTTTCCCCCCTCTCAATATCCATTCGAGCACGTGACATGTGGGAGGACGCAAACCTCAACACCAACATGACATGCAAATGAATGTTGACGGATGAGGAGAGTTTTGGAGGATAAAAGTTCGTGCAGAGCTACAAAATGAAGCTTCAAGACAATGTTGGAAAAGAAAGGGAAGAAAGCACAAATAATAAAGACTTAGATTTGAATATTATTAAAGATAACCCACCCTCTTTTTTTTTTTTTGATATGCAGTAACCCACTCTTGTCGGTTTGCTCAGTGAAGCATTAAAATGAGATTATCGTTTTGTTTAAAGAAAAAAGTGCTGCTGATATACTTGTGTGTGGCATAAAAAATATTATTTTATTACTGGCATAAAAATAAATATAAAAATTTTAAAATTTAATATTTATAATTTATCACTAAAATTCTACCTTTTTAAATTTAAATTTTTTGACTTTATCAATTTATTTTTTATTTTTTATTTTACCTTTTTAAAAAATTGTAATTTTAAGTTTAATATTTTTCTAAAAATATCAAATTAGGTAAAATATATATATATATATATAAGAAAACCCATGTCCATTTTCATCATCATACATCTTTACTGGTTTTTAAATTAAATTATCTAAATAAATTTTAGTTTGTTCAATTAACTTTTAAAAAGAAAAAATTAGCTTAATGGCATCAAAAAATATAATTCTTAAAAATTATGGATGAGATTTTTAAATAGTTTGGAATGTGGCCAATCATAAAATTAATTAGATATATTTTATTTTTTTATTCTCAGATTAAATTTATTATTAAAACACAATATATTTATTGTAATTAATTCTTAACTAATTGAATCTTTTTTTTTCTGAATCATTCCTTTTTTCTCTAAATGTGAAACTGCTAATGACTTTTTTTATTGTAGAACTTTTCTTCTCTCTCCCTCTCTGTTTTTTTCAAGAACACTATGAAGAGGATACTGGACACTAAAGAGACATCTTCATTTTTGAAAGCAGACGACTAGGCTAAAATTTATTATCTGTTATCAAAATTTCACCATCTTCACATATCTCGTTAACCTAGAATTTTTTACGAGTTATGTTTGATTCATTTTGAGCAAATGATTATGTATTTTTCATATTGTTGAGTTACGATACTGCATCATTGATATATATATATATATATATAATATTAAATAAATAAGTTTATGTCTGATTGTCTAGTTATGTTGATCTACAATAGTATATTAGTTATATACAGCAATATATCAATGATATAGTATTGTAAATTAATAATAAAAAATATATAATCATTTACTCAAAATAGATTCAACACAGTCTACAGAAAAATTTAAACTCTTAATTTATCACAAAGAATCAAATATCTAAACTAATAAAATAAAAAATTATGAATTTATTACTCCATTTCTCCATCGATGTGCTCCATTCCGTCAATGTATCTCGCCTTGCGTTTGTCTCTCGTGATCATGACTAATTGACTATGGCTCATTTACATTGCTTTGCTGTCTTGCATTCGTCTCTTTTGCATCCAGTTCCGTCTTTTTTCTCACATTCATTGTTAAAAAAGAGCCATTTTAGATTATATATCTTGTATTCATTGTGTTCAGTTCTAAAAATTTATTACGTTTTAAATCTTTTAATATTTGCAAAAAGCAGATAGTGAAAGGGTAGTTTTATAAATTAATTATAAGCTAAATATTAAAAAGATCGTTTTTAAAATTTTAAAAGGGACAGGCTATTTCTTTTACTTGATCTCATAATATATCCTATATGTATAAAAGCTCCTTTTAAAAATATGTATCTAAATATAAATTATGTTAAATTTACATACTTTTTTTCAACTTTAATTAATCAATCTCAGTTAATTCTCACATCAATTGTAAATTTTTTTAATTCAAATGCACACAATGATTGCTTAAATTGAGCACGGACCTCTGTGTGTGTAAGAGAAATACATCGGTGAGCATCATAGTGGGGCCTGAATTACAGAATTAGTAGCACATTAGGAAGTGTAGCCTACTTGGTGTTAAAGAACTGAAAAAATTTAAAGGATATTTCAAAAAAATTAAAGGATCAAGTTAAAAACTTATATAAAGTTAGATGACTAAAAGTATATTTTAACCTATTAAATGAGCATCTTTTAGTTAATTGAAAATAAATTAAAACATTAGTAACCAGAGCATTTTAGTCTGAAATATGTGAAAGAATTAAAACTTGATTGCAATATGAGATGTTGTTATTAAGATAAATTGACTTCTACTAAAATATACTCCCTCCATTTATATATATATATATATATATAAATTTATATCACACAATTTAAGAAAATCAATTAACTATAATAATTATATTTAAAAATAAAAAATTAGACTAAAATGTCCTATGCTAATCAACATAAACATGTATTAATTATTTTTTATTAATGTAAATTATGAGGGATGATTTAAAAAATATATAATAAATGCTTGTTGAAATAAATTATTTTTCTTATATAAAAAGTAAAAAAAAATGATAGTTTTTCCAGCAATAATAAAAAATGGAGGGAGTGTGAAACAATTAAAATTTGTTTATTTTTTTTAAGACAAGGGGACTAAGGACTGGGGACTGGGGAGTGTATTTTATTACTAATTTTTAATATCATAAAGTATTTTTTTTCAAATAAGTGTGTTAAATAATATCTATGCCTTTTTGTGTCTTTTAAGGTATAATTAATAAAACTTTTTTAAAAATAATCTTAATTAATGGTGTGATTAATAAAATTTCTCATTCATACATCTTATTAAATAAGAACAAACATAAAAAATTATATAATTTTAAAAATAATCAATTAACTTATTAAGAATGTAATTTAGTTAATAGTATCTTATAATGCTAAATGATTGAGGATAATTCTTAACCAAAAAAAAAAAGGTAGGTACGACATGCATGGATGCGTTTGTCTACATACTGAATGTTCTCACTTTTTTTTATCATTTAAAACCTGACTCTTTTGTTTTGTTTTATTATTATTATTATTATTTTTTGGCCAGAATTTAAAGCCTGACTTAAATATAAACTTCTAACCGCAGTTGCCAAACTACACTTTTGTCTGGTGAAACTTTTGTTTGATTTTTTTTCATTTCATATTAAAAAATAAAATTTTATCTTTAGAAAGTTAAAATTTGTTTAAATAAAATATTTTTTTAAAAAATATATCTTAAAACTACATTCAAATAGTAGCTAAAAGTGAATTTTTAAAATGTAACTATTTTGAAGATTTTAAAAAGTAAAATATTATTTGACCATACTACACCAAGTTTAATCTCTTTTTCTTTTATGTAAAAAATAGTTAATTCATTAAAAATATAATTATTATTTCAATAATAATAATTAGGTATCAATTTTTTAACATTATAAATTAAATAATTAATTATGTTAATTTTTAGCATTAATGTATAATAAAAATTACAAATCTTTATTACATTTTCTAAAATTATAAATTAAAAAATATAAATAACTAGAGATCAAATTTTTAGCATTATAGATCAAAATTTATGTTATTTAAAATATTTATCATATTTTTTAAATATATTACACTTGTATGATAAAAATTTTAAATCATCACAAATCAATATTCTTTTTTGGTAATTGTACAGTTAAAAGCATATTTTACTATCACAAACCAAATAACTTTTAATGTATCAAACTAACTTTTAAAAAAATATATTCGAATACAAATTTCATTAGA